GCATCCCATGGCTATACCTACCTCCAGCTGCTGCCATCCTGTAGTGTAGTCCTGGTGGGTGCAGCACATCTTGAGGTCTTCAAAGTATTTGGCTACTAAGATTCTGATAGGGCCAGGGATATAGAAGAAGTCCAGGGCATAATCGATGAGTTGATGGGGGACGGATCCATATTCGTTGGCAAGGTCCAACCATACCACATTCATGTCACCTTTTTTGCCTTTTGCTCTCTGAATCTGCTCCCAGATGACTGCAGAGTGTTCCACACACCCTGGAAATCCTGGTACACCTGCTTTCTGGCAGCTGGGTTAGGGGTCAGCCTCTTGGCCAGTACGGAGAAAAAGATCTTTCCTTTGACATTCAGGAGCGTGATGCTCCTGAACTGACTGATTATGGTGGATATTGCCTCCTTTGAAATAAAAACTGTGACTGCCCTTTGCCACACTCTGAGGGGATGACATGGTTCTTCCAAACCACCCTCATGAGGTTCCACAAACGTTTCTGGACCCTTGGGCAATACTTGTACAGTTTGTAAGGTATCCCATTGGGGCCTGGGGCTGAGGCTGCTCTTGCTTTCTGGACAACTGTGACCTCTTTGAGCTTAGGGAGAGCAGCATTGAATGGGAAAGATGGGGGGGCTGGGTGAGGAACATAACCAGGAGATCCCAGCGGAGTTGATCTTGCTGGGTCGCTGTATTGCTCCCTGTAGTGGGAAGTGATCCTCCAGCTCTGATTTTGTGATCCCCAGCTTCCCGCTGCTCTTGTCCTCTAGAAGCTGTCTTGCGTGCTTGAAGGGGTTTTTGAAGAAGTTACTCCTCTCCTTTTCCTAGGCTTGTGTAACAGTATCTTCTACTCCTGTACTGAAAATGTATATGTTTGTTATTTTCACACTGGCAGACACCAGAGGGCACTGATGTGACTGATACTGTGGAGCGACTTATAGTCCAGAAAATATGGTAAATATAAGGACGATGAGGCTATTGTTCCAGTAATTTGTTAATAGTCCGGTAATAGTCCAAAACCTCAGCTAAAAGCATTCCATATCTCAGCTATAATTTTCTTAGCATTTATTTATCATAGCTTCTAATACTCTAATAATACTCTAATACTCAATCCAGCCTGTTTCAAGTAAGGGAATATACAGTATAAAGTAAAAATAATCAGAATGAGTAGCACCACAACTGGTGCCTAATTCAATTCTGAAACCACACAGACAGAACCGGAATCCGTTCCAGTCTGTTCCAGTTAATGATTAATATCTAAGCTTAAGATCAGTTTGTTAGCTAGCTTTGTAACTGGGTAATGTAATTTCTTTTTGGTATTTGAATAAGGGCTAGATGAGCTGGAGATACAGAAACAATATCTGATATCTTCATTTCTCCTCTCTTGTTTACTTGTTATTAATACTGAATCCTGCTTTGAAAAAAACTGCTGCTGCTTTTTGTTTAAACTTGTATATTTTTAAGCATTTTTAATTGGTCAAACAGACTCAACAGCATCAATTAAAATGTAAAAAAATGAAATTGTATGTAAAAAGTTCACAAAAAAGAGTATATAATTGCAGTAGAAATGAAATACATCACACTGACTACAGCCCAGACCTCAGACACTACACTCCTCTCTGTGATTTGTCTGCAGATGTTTGATAAGGTTTGTTTTTGGAACATCTAGCGACGCTGCCACCTCTTTTGAGACTTGTGTCGCACAAGTTGCACACGGCTGTTTTATTTCATATAAAACCCCCACGCAGCTGAAAAGATAACAGCATGAGACTGATTGACAGGCCCTTGTGTTCTAGTGACAGTGTCAAATGTCCTACCGAGTTAAGTATTTATTAAGTCTTGTTTGGTTTTATGGATTGGATCTCACAGGTTAAAGTTATTTTCTGCATGAACTGTTAATAATCCTTCACCTACTCTTCACTTTTCTTGTTCCTCTTTAGCTACTCTTTGGTTAAAGTTTGAAGATTTTTGTTAAATTTGTCTCCACCTTTCAGTCTTTTCTGGGAAAATTGTTCTGACAATAAACATTTTTGTTTTTATTAAACTACATTGCATTACTTTAGTTACTTTTTGCTTTTATAGTACAATTTTCAATAAATATTTTAGAAAATCTAACTCTTGAAAAATCCTATCATGAAAACGTAGAAAAAACACTGTCAGACACATTCAGTGTATTTTTCTTAGTTTTAAACTTGGTGCAGACAGACAAACACAACTCTCTCTCTCTCTCTCTCTCTCTCACACACACACATACACACACACACACACTGACTGTGGTCAGACACTTTGATCAAGATTTAGTGTTGTCAGTGACAGCGTGACATGTCCTTGAACACAATCACCGGTAAAGTGTCCCGTCATCACATTCTCGCCTCCCATTACCACAGCTGGGGTTGAAGAGAGGTGTGTGGGGTGAGGGTGATGGTGGTGGTGTGTGAGAAAAGTACAGAGGGGCGGAGGAGACTCCATGAGTGAACGGAAAAAAGTCACTCCTCTCCTTACGAGCTCAACAAAAATCAAGAGAGTGAGAGAGCCTGATCACACCGGGGGAGCTCTAACTGCTGTCATCATAAAGGCTGCAAGACTGTGAGCTGAGGTGGAAAAATCTGAGCACTTCCATCTCAGAAAAGAAACTAATGAAATCAGCTTATTCTTAGGGGTTGTGGCCGAAGTCAGTCTCTCTATTTATTCCTGGAACTTATTTCTATCCTTTCAAATCCAATTTAATATTGTCCAAAAAACTGAATTAGTAGAGATTTGTTTGTGATTATGTCTGTGAAGTCTATAAGAATTATTATTATTATTATTATTATTATTATTATTATTATTATTATTATTATTATTATTATTATTATTATTATTATTATTATTATTATTATTATTATTATTATTATTATTATTATTATTATTATTATTATTATTATTATTATTATTATTATTATTATTATTATTATTATTATTATTAATAATAATAATAATACTCTAATAGTGTGTCTATATATATATATAAACCAGCCACTAGGGTACACTAGGTGAGGGTTGTGTCAGGAAGGGCATCTGGTGTAAAACAGTGCTGTTGACCTACAGGGTTGTACTGCCCTCGCAATGCGTGTGCTTATGCCAGACAGTCAGATAATAAGGATAGAATCCTTCAAAAAACCACAAGGCTTGACTTTTCTTGTCCTTTAATGAAATCTTCTATTTCAAAACTCAATCCTTAAAACTGAAAATTATACAGAGATAGAAACACAATTTACTTAAACATTATACAAGTAAGGGATTGCATAAGTACGATTCAATTAGCATATATCAATTCCATCCATCCATCCATTTTCATCCACTTATCCATTACCGGGTCGCGGGGGCAGCAGTCGCCACCCAAATCACATTGCACCGTACCAACCCCCCTGCGGGTGGTGAGTTCACTGGAAGGTACCGACTGCCCTAACCGGGATTCAAACTTGCCCAGGAGGTGAACACCAATGACAGAGACATAGCCTCTGGGCCAAAGGGGGCGCATCTATCAATTAACAAATGTTAAGCATCTGTTGAAAACTGACTAGTATATTGTCAGAAAACGTAATACTTACAGATAAATATTCTCAGAGGCAAAAGTGTCAGAAAACTCTAACAATGTTATCTCAGTAGTCTGTTTAATCTGAATGTGTTTGTCTGAGCTTGCAACGGAAAAAACAGAATAGCTGGAACTAACTGAAAGAGCACTCACTCGGATGCAATTTCTCGAGACCAAAGAAAAGACCACTCACTCTGACGCGGTTTTTCACAACCAAAGAATATAGCCGCTTTAAACGTGTTCAATGATTAATGTATGAACTTTAACTTTAACATTTTAACTTTTTAACCCTTAAAGGCAGAACACTCACCGCTTGGTGTAATTACATTATATCACTGCAGATATACACACATTAAAGGGGCATGTCTTCTATAAACAATACACATTAAATCTCTGAAAGAAGAACTACGATCTCTGAGACTGGCCTTAAGAACACCTTAGCTGTCCCATCCTTCACGATCCGCACCTCTACTTTGCGGACTCTGTTGTCGCTGCTTAAGCAAAGCCTTAACAACGAGTCCCATTGGCCATTCATTTCTGTGGGCTTGGCTGTCTTTCAGTAAGACAACATCTCCTTCGTTGACATTTGGCTTGTCTTTTGTCCACTTCCTGCGGCTTTGTAGCACTGCACTTTTGTTTGTTTCCACTGCTTCCCATACAACTGTGCCTTGCCAAAGTTTCCACATGGGGATGAAACTGCACTCATCTTTTGAGTAAGGAGCATCGCTGGAGTGAGCACCATAGGCATATCTGGGTCAGTGGATATGTTTACAAGAGGTCTTGCATTCATGATTGCGATGACTTTTGCCATGAAAGTGCTTAGGACTTCATGTGTGAAACGTGTTGGTCCTGCCTGAAGAAACATTGCATCCAGGATGTGCCTGGCAACTCCGATGAGCCTTTCCCAGGAGCCACCCATGTGGGAAGCATGAGGGGGATTAAACATCCAGGAGCAGCCTTTCTCCTGGAGGTAATTCTTAACTGTGTTTATATTCAACTCCTTACAAGCTCCCACAAAATTGATCCCTCTGTCAAACCGCAGAAGTTTGGCTGGACCACGGAGAGCGTTGATAAAGCTGTCTGTTGACAGCTCAATATGCACTGATCTGGTTGACATGCACGTAAACAACACAGCCCAGCGTTTGCTGTCTACACATCCTCCCGATGTGTCATGATACCACGGCCCAAAGACATCAAGGCCGACAGTAGTGAATGGAGGCTCAGGTGTAAGTCGGTCAGCAGGTAGATCAGCCATCTTCTGGTCCTCCAACCTCCCTCGCAGTCTGCAGCAAGTAACACACTTGTGAATGACAGAAGACACCAGATACTTGCTTCCAATTATCCAGTATCCAACTGATATCTACACCATCAGATGCACGATATCTACACAACCAGATGCAGGAAACGGGCCTCCTGCATCATGAAGGACCCCATCCACCCCGCAAATGCTCTGTTTGCCCGCCTCCCATCAGGAAGACGGCTATGGAGCATCAAAAGCAGGACCACCAGACTGAGGAACAGCTTCTTCCTTGAAGTTGTGAGACTGCTGAACTCCGGTGGACCCCTGTAACCCCGCTGTCCCCCCACATTGACTCTGCTAAATACCCCCTTCCCCCCACAACCACCACACAACATGAAATATGTGGGCCTGCTCATGGCCTCACAACTACTGTCCCCACATTCGTTGCTCTTGTTGCCCTGACCAGGGCTGTTGTTCTTGTTCTGTCGTTGTTCTTGTCTTTCACTTATGCTCTTTCTCTTTCTCTTTCTCTCTTGCACTACACCGAACTATTACCCTCTGTCACTTCACCGGGGAAACTAATTTTGTTCATGTCTAACATGTGTTGCAATGACAATAAAGAACCTTGAGTCCTTGAGTCCTGATCTGACAGCTCCTTCTGTAATGTGTTGCCCTTGATGAGCTACTTGTTCGTGAAGGTGTCTCACAAGTAGTGTAGCAATGTGATGGGTTTTTGTAATGATCAGTGTGTCTTTCTTCTTTTGACAGGTCAGCACAAGAAAGACGACCTCCGACACGAAGCAGACCATCTTCATCCACAATTGGACAAGGTCTCTGCTTGGGCAAGGTCTGTTTGCCTTCAAGACATTTGAATTCTTCCTTTAAGAAGCTGAACTGCACAGAGCGGATGATCACAGCTTTGGCATTTGAAAGCTCACTTATGCTGGGTGTTTCTCCAAAACACTTCCAACCTTTACTTTCAATGTCTGACTTTCCTTTGAAGGATGCCGCAACATGAATGAGCCTGGCTATAGTGTGAGTGAGTGTTCTCCAGCTTGAACATCAATCGAACTGTTTGGAGCCAATCTGAAACTCTGATGCTTTGGTTGCCAGAGTAGTAACTTCCGGACGAATCTCATCATCAGCTTCAGGCTCAATCAGGGCAAAGATATCCGAGACGGACGTCTGTAGATCGCCTGATCCGAGTTACCCGATTGGAGACATAGAGGTAAAACCTTCTTGTAGAGTTATGAATATAGCCACTGTCAGTGAAGAACCTTACAGTGTCTATCTTGATGTCCATCTCTTCACTAATCAGTTCATATAGCTCAACAGCCAGCACAGCTGCGCAGAGCTCCAGACGCGGTATGGTGTGAGCAGGGCGAGGAGCCAGTTTTGAAGAATGATCTTACTGTCAGTGAAGAACCTTACAGTGTCTATCTTGATGTCCATCTCATCACTGATCAGTTCATATAGCTCAACAGCCAGCACAGCTGCACAGAGCTCCAGATGCAGTATGGTGTGAGCAGGGCGAGGAGCCAGTTTTGACTTCCAAATGACAAATCCAACATGATATTGTCCCTCTGTGTCTGCAACTCTCAGGTAGGCCACTGCTCCTATAGCTATTGTGGAAGCATCTGAGAAGATACACAGTTCTTTCGTCTGTGTTGAAAACAGCAAAACCGGTATGTAGCACCTCTTTATATGCAAGTCTTCCAGGGTCTTCAAAGAGTCTCTCCATGAGTTTCATTCTGCCTCCTTTTGTGGAAGGAGAGGAGCATACCACTCGCTGTTTTCAGATGACCATTCCTGGAGAAGTTTTTTTTCTTGCACCGTTATAGGAGCTACAAAGCCCAAGGGGTCTAACAAACTGTTGATTGTTGACAACACACCTCGTCGAGTGTATGGCTTTTCTTTACAGGACACCAGGTAAGTAAAGCTGTCTGTTTCTAAATTCCAGGACAGGCCCAGACTCCTCTGAAGAGGGACGGGATCCACCCCAAGGTCCAGATTTGTCAGATCTTTGGCACGGTCCTCCCCTGGAAATGCTTCCATCACCTGTCTACTGTTTGATGCCAATTTGTGCAGTCGCAGGTTGGATTCCGCCAACATTTCTCTGGTTCGTGTGAGAAGGTCTATTGCCTCTTCAGGCGTGGCAACTGAGGCGAGACCATCGTCAACGTAAAACTTCCTCTCAACAAACTGTCTGGCAACCAAACCATGGTCTTGTTCACCTTTTTGCGATGCCCGTCTCATGCAGTAGATGGCCACAGTCAGTGAAGGGCTGTTTCTTCAGAGCAGTGTTGGCTTGAATGCCTGATGAATTTACAGGTATGTCAGTTTTATGTACAACCAAAAAGAGACGTGGCTATTATTCGGGGTTATAGTGAAGCTTGGATCATTTTTTTATCTTTGCCTGTTGTTCGACAAACCTTGAGAAGATCAGAGAATCCATCTCTCTTGTAGGTTATAAGGGAGCTTCTCCTCTATCTGTTTCACCCCTCGACCTGTATCCAAATATGAGAGCCCTGGTGGTGCACCATCTTGCTTAGCACACTCCAGTTCAAGGAGAATGTCACTTAGCTCTCTCCGCTTTACAGTATCTCTATTGGTCAGCTTTTCATTCTTTTTTAACAGTGCATCTTCGATGACCTCAGGAGTCCCATAACACTCTTCGTGACATTGCCAAACCATGGCAGTGCCTGCACTGGGATTGAGGACGTGCACTGTACGAATTCTCTTTGCCTGTTCCAACGATTCAGTTCCCAGCCATTTGGTTAACAGGTCTAGTTCTTCCCTGGCTGACAGATTCAAGTCATTTGTAGAACTTAGAAATGAGGCTTTCCACACCCTATAATTTTTTTGTTTGTCGTCAAATTGCAGAAGACCAGCACTCACCAATTCTCTCCTGATGAGATATTTTGCAAAGTCTTGTGCACCTTTAGGCTCAGGTACGTACACGCTTTCACGGTTAGCAGTGTGATGAATACCATGGCGGTAGGTATTACTCAGACCTATATTACTTGTTGGCTCTTTTTTCCTATCTTTGTAAACTTGCTGTGTGTTCCTTTGAATGTCATGAGAAACTCTAGGCTCATCCAGTGTTTCCTGTTTGAAGATGTCATAGTATTGTAGGATGTACTCACTAGTAGGGCGGATTGTACTCAAGGGCTCTTCTTCCACATCTGGAGGCTGGCTACGCTCCCCGCTTTCAATCTCAACCTCCTGAAAGGCTGTAGCCTCAGCTTCAGCTGCAGCAGCAGCTCTCTGACACTGGAGAAGATGAAGATCAGCTTCGAAGCTAGCTTTCTGCGTCATCATCTCAGCCTCTCGTTCAGCGAAGGCTACTTCAGCCCTCGCAGCCCTCGCTTTAGTGAGGCTTTTATAGCGAAAGACGCTACCGATGAGTTTCTAGTGGATGCTCTAGGTGACTGGGACCTAGCATCATGTGCTTGATGAGTCACCTTCTTCTTGGTTGCCTGATCTACAACCTGTTTGTTATTCTTCACTAGCCTTTTCTTTAAGATATTTTTTCCCTGAGCGTAGACTCATGATTGCTGCTTTTTGAGTTTAAATGCTTGAGCCCACCGTGTCTTATCTTTTTACTGTACTGCCCTCGCAATGCGTGTGCTTATGCAAAGCTAGACAGTCAGATAATGGATAGAATCCTTCAAAAAACCACAAGGCTTGACTTTTCTTGTCCTTTAATGAAATCTTCTATTTCCCAACTCAATCTTTAAAACTGAAAATTATACAGAGATAGAAACACAATTTACTTAAACATTGTACAAGTAAGGGATTGCATAAGTACGATTCAATTAGCATATATCAATTAACAAACTTAAAAAAGTTAGCATCTGTTGAAATCTAGCAGAGTGTATTGTCAGAAAACGTAATACTTACAGATAAATATTCTCCGAGGCAAAAGTGTCAAAAAACTCCAACAATGTTATCTCAGTAGTCTGTTTAATTTGTATGTGTTTGTCTGAGCTTGCAACGGAAAAAACAGCCTAGCTGGAACTAACTGAAAGAGCACTCACTCGGACGCAATTTCTCGAGACCAAAGAAAAGACTGCTCACTCTGACACGGTTTCTCACAACCAAAGAAAAGACCACTCACCCTGACGCGTTTTTTTCTTTGGTTGTAAAAAAACTGGTGGAAATTGGACTACTGCTGGTCGAAGACAGAAGAGGAGGACAATTGATTTGGACAAAAAGAGAAAAGAGGAAGAATAGAAGTGTTGGTCTGAAGTTTGGAACTCTGAATGTAGGTACAATGACAGGGAAAAGTAGAGAACTAGCTGATGTGATGGAGAGAAGAAGAGTAGACATTTAGTGTGTGCAGGAGACCAGGTGGAAGGGCAGCAAGGCTAGAAACATTGGAGGAGACTACAAACTGTTTCATCATGGTTCAGATGGGAAGAGAAATGGAGTAGGGGTGATCCTAAAGGAAGAACATGTAAGAAATGTGGTGGAGGAGAAACGAGAGTCAGACAGGTTGATGTGTGTGAAGGTAGAAATAGAACGAGTGATGATAAATGTTGTTAGTGGTTAAGCCCCACAGGTGGGCTGTGAGTTAGAAGAAAATGAGAAGTTCTGGAAGGAGCTGGATTGGATGATAGAGGGTATCCCCAGGAGAGAGAGAGTGGTGATTGGAGCAGACTTTAATGGTCATGTAGGGGAAGGGAACAGAGGAGATGAGGAAGTGATAGGTAGGGTTGGTGTGAGGGAGAGAAACTTGGAAGGACAGGCAGTGGTAGATTTAGCGAAGAGAATGGAAATGGCTAAACACCTATTTCCAAAGGAAAGAAGAACACAGGGTGACGCACAAGAGTGGAGGCAGGTCCACACAGATAGATTATATTCTATGTAGAAGAGGTAATCTGAGGGAGATTAGAGACTGTAAGGTGGTGGCAGGCGAGAGTGTAGCCAAACAACATCGGATGGTAGTGTGCAAAATGGAGGTGAAAAAAGGAAGAGAGTGAAGACAGAGCAGAAGATCAAGTGGTGGGAACTCAGGAAAGAGAAATGTTATGAAGAACAGCAGGTGACACAAGTGAAGCTAATTGCCAACAGGTGAGTGTGGTCCCATCAGATTACCCCACAAAGAACACAGGAAAACACGGAAACAGACAAACATGACAGGAAAAGTGTTCTGGTGCCAATTTATAAGAAGGGTGATGTACAGAGTTGTAACAGAGGGATAAAGTTGATGAGTCATACGATGAAGATTTGGGAAAGGTGTGTGTGTATCTGTGTGTGAGCGAGGGCACCTGTATTTGTAAGTTCATGTACTCTGATATTGTCCTCATCGTAATATTTGACCCACAGGGAAACACGGAGTATTTTCAAACCAGTGGAGATAAGATAAGGTTTTTCTTTGAAGAAGGAGTTTTCGATGACAAAGGTGAGTCCCATAACAATCACCATAACTCTGATAACCACTGTTACATTTCTGTGTAAGGCATTGTGTGTGTGAGCTTTTTGGGGTTTTTTTTTTCCGCAGGGGAATTCATTGTACCAAAGCAGAGGTCATTGAATAAAGTTGGTCATGGTAAAATGATTTTCCTTCAACTTTTCCGTTCACCTGAGGTTTCCAGTTGTCTCTAACCAGAGCTGGTTTCCTCCGCAGCACTGCATGCCCACGAGCCACTTTTCAAAAAGGTCACACATTCATCCAAAGTCCAGGTGAGGAAAATGTTGAACAAATGATGAACACAACAAGAGTAAAAGAATAACCAACACCTGCATCTGTTCTGTCGTTCTCTCAGGGCGTGGCCAAGAAGCTGGGTCTAAAAAGTCCTGTCATACTGCAGAGCATGTACATTTTTAAGGTGAAATTACACATTGTTACCCCCAGTGATGTACACCCTTTATACTGACCAAGTTTCTGTTGCAGTACATTGTAAAACTTATAGTTGATTCTTTTCTTTAGAACATTTACTTTCTCTGTAGTTGTACCTTAATTTAATTGTACAATGACAATAGAGAATTCTTCTTCTGGAAGAAAAATCATGCTGGTGTTTCTCAAGTACTTTTATACAGATCAGGGATATTCGAATATATACGGCATATACAGTACCTATGCTGGTTCAGAACAGGATCAGAGGGACAACACAAACAGGAAGGGTTGGATAAAAAGCTAGAGAAGCCAGATTTAGATTTGGGTGGCGACTGTTGCCCCTGTGACCCGGTAACGGATAAGCAGATGAAAATGGATGGATGGATGGATATTTACTTCTACCTTTGGTTTGGTTTTCAGACATTCTGACCACTGGAGACTTCATAGAGACCAAGTCTGTGTTTGTTTTTCCTGGTGGAGAAGAGAATGATGGAGAAGCAGTAATGAGTCGGAGAGGAGAATGAAATATTAAAGTTTCTAATTAAATACGGACACAGCTCTCCTCACTCTCCTCAAGGTTGTTCGGCCCATTATCTCTGCCATGTGATCAACTGTGATCCTTTCAGGGCGTTCTTGACTGCAGGAACTGACAGCATTGTAGCAACACTGTGGACTCACACACATACAAACTCAGTCAACTTGCTAAATAGACTTTTGCAGCTTCTTCTGCAGCCGTTTTTACTTGGATATATGAAGATATTGTGGCCTGTTAAAGACAAAGATGTATAACATATGTAAAAAATAAAATAACATTTGCTCCACTTACAATAATGTTTGCCCTCAGATTCAGATAAACACACATGGGTGTTTTTCAGAAAATTTTTTTTTTTATAATTCCATCACCGTCCAATCATAACATAATCATAAGACACTGATGACAATATATTTAAATACAACAAAATATAATAAAATCAAATTGTCTCAACAAATATCCTTTTTACTTTACACAAACTATGACTTTTTATTTTTGGTTGAACATCCAAACCAAAAAAGTGTGAATCATACACAAAAAATCATGACCTTCTTGTTGTTTAGCCCTGAGAGGTTTGAACACTGAGGCCTGGGCCATGACCACTGCTGTGAGCACAATAACCAACACACTTAAACACACACGTGTCAGTGTGTGTATTGTTTTAATTTCACTCATGGGGTTTTATTTTTTGACCCCACAATTGGTGATGAGTGTAGTTCAGTCTGTGGTTGTGATGAATCAGTGTTGAATCAGCTTCAGTCTTTGAGAACAATAGAAATAATCAGATTGATGGCTTCACTGAAGCTTCTTCACAAACACAGACACTCATACACTGTTGTTCATCTTTAAATTTTAATGAATTTAATGTATTGCTTTGTTAGTGTTTTTTGCCTTAAACTCATACACAAAGTATACATAACAAGTGTGGGTTATGAAGGTGTTTTATTCTCTATATTTTCTGAATTTTACACCAATGCTTTGTTTTCAAGGCAGATAATAAGTGCATATTCTAAAGCTACCAATAGGTGGCAGTCTGCCTCCTGCAGGAATCAGAGCTCAGGAACTCATATGAAGACTGACGACCACGAGCATAAGTTTTGTCCAAGTGTCAGTGAAATCAGATGAGTCACTCTGCAGCATCAAGTCTGTTCTTTTTTGTGCCATCAAAAGAGGAAAAACGGGAAAAAGGAAAAGATTTCCTCGGCTTGAAACCATTTCTTGGAACATAAAATTTAAGTCCTGGCTTCTGAAGCTAAAAACATTCACGTTCATAGAAGAGCAGTGTGTTTTTCAGAAATCAGAGTAAACATCCTTCCACTCCTCTCCTCCTGATGGATGTCAGTCGACTTTAGATGTGGAGGCAGAAATGACACAAAACAGAAGTGACAAAGAAGCTTGGCACAGCTAAAAATAGGGAACAAATAAATGAGGATAAAAGGAGAGCGCACCGCTCCAAAACTCACAGGGGAAACAAGTTTCTAAATGGTTTCCCTTTGTCTGCATAATCTCTAAACGAGGATTTTTTTTTCATAAATAGTTGGCAGTCAAAAACTATTTCTGTTTAATACCTGACTGTTTTCTATCCACTGATCAAACAGTTATGTACATTTAAAGTTTAAGTGTTTTCACCACAGTGGAGCCAACAGAACTGGACAGAACGCCCTCTGATGAAGGCTGTGCTTTATTAAAAGATTAAAGATATCCATCATCCAAGATTTATTTATTTTGTATTTAATAATTTATTTATATATGTAAGTATTTATTTATGTATTATTTGTTCTTTAATATCATAGTCTGTCCTGGTCTTTTGGAACTCATTTTCTTCTCTGTGGATGTGTGAATGTACAGCCAAGATACAGACACAAGCACACACACACACACACACACACACACACACACACACACACACACGTGCCATTACAGCCACAAAGTGTTGAACTTGCTGCTGAACAGACACATCAAATGCGTTACACACTGCTGGTGAGTGTGCGTGTGTGCAGCTCCTGTTGCTCTGTGCTCCCAAACTCCTCTTCCTCCTCCTGCTCCGATTTTTCCCTCTGGAGACTTCGGCCTGATTGGATTCTGAAAGAGAGATCGAAGACAGAGGTCAAAGAGAGCCTGGAGGACGGACCTGGTCTGAGTCTGTTTGTGTGTGTGTGCGTGTAACTACCTGTGTGTATTTGTGAGGTGTGTCTTAGAAATTTATATTGAAACTAACCTTTAAAAAATTAAATCATTTTTTTCAGTAAAAACACTGAGAGTGAAAGTTTAAGTCCTGTTTACAATGGCGAAGGAGCTTCTGACCCACTCTGCCTTATTAATTTTGTTAAAGACTTGTTTTTTATTTCTAGTCTCTTCTCTCGACTTTTTTCTTCTCATCAACAGCTCTTAGAAATTCATATTTTCATCAGCATCTCATATGAGATTCACTATGTGTGAAAACAACTGCAGAGAGGCTCAACTAGGATCACCTCGTATTTCCTGCTCAGCTCTGGTAGTCAGTGTTTTAACCATGTGATGGGCGATACCAGAATATTTGAATATTTTTATAATATTATTATATATATAGTTTTTTTAACCCAAGAAAACACATGACAAATACTGGCCATTTAACAACTTATTGTATGTATTTTTCATAACATATTAGTCAAAAGAAATTAAATCACTTTATTTTAATCAGTGTAACCTAAATGGTTTAATTGCTAACATGAAGGGTCAGTGGTCACGTGACATGGATGGCGTAGGAGGTAGGAGGGGGGGGGGGGGGGGGGGGCACAAAAGGCTGAATGTAGTAAGTTACCCCTAAAATATGTGGAAGTGACGCATGTACTTTTCCCATTCATTAATCAGTATGTATACCTTAAGAGTATATATTAAATCAATATTAAATTGATTTATTGAGTATTAAATCAATACTCAATCGATACCACAGTATCAATACTGTCCAGTAGAAAGGTGGCAAAGGAACTGCCACTGAAATTCATTATCATTATGAAGCTGATATAAACGTGTCTTAAGTTTCATCATAGAAGAAGAGTAGGAAACAAAAAACAAACAAACAAACAAACAAAAAAACTTAGCTCAGAAGTGAAGCTGCAGGAAGTCTAACAAGAGTTGCAGGTAAAGACACTGAACTCAAACTCATGTACGGCTGGATGTTCCAGTTGGTTTTGTAGCAGTTTTGTTTACTGTCTGTCATGGAGGCTGTTCATTTTCCAGAAGATCACCTCATTAATTGGTCTGTATAGGATTTTTTTTATGGTCACTTGAATAAATCAGCGTTATTTCCTTCCCTCCTTTCCCCCTTCCTTCCGTCCTTCCTTCATCTCCAGGAACTCAGGCACAGCAACGCCCTGTTCTAACAGGGCTGTGCCTGAGTTAAACCCATGCTCAGCGATATAAGGACCGCAAAGTCAATTAATTTCTAGCTGCTTAATGACTTGGAACCTGCTCTGCTCGACAGTCACCCCCCCCTTCTCTCACCCGCCCCCCTCTCCCACCTCTGTGCACAATGATTGAGTGAATTTCACAGACATGCTGCCGAATCCACAGAAATGCATTGAGGAATGATCATATTCCTTTTTTAATATTACTGCTGCGCTAAATGTCATGGCCAATCCTGTAGTTGCACCTGAGATAAAAATAAATACCAGCAGAATTATTGGGCCCATGCCCAAAAGGTGAATTTCAAGTAGACGTTTTGCTGAACGGTAGAGTCAAAGCCCCAGTTTTTATGGGATGTTTGCCTGAACCTATAAACTATGATGTATGTGACGCGCAGGTGTAACGTGAAGGTCACTGTGTTCTCTGTGTACATACATTCACACATTGGGTTTTCCTGCTGGATATCATCATTCTAAATGTGAGATGCACGGAGGTGAATAATTACGTCACTCAGAAAACCCTCAGTCCTCCATACTCGGGTCACTTCCTCGTCCTCCGTTCCTTGTCACCAGCTCCTCCTCTGTCCTCCCGCTTCTGTCTGTCCTCCCTTCAAATCTCCGTTTGACAGAGAGGAACATTTTATTATATAATATTAATTATTTATCCAGTTATGGGTGACACTTTTACTTTGGTTTCCTGCTGTAAAGTCCTGCTCCATTCAACAGTATCAATGGCATTTTCACCACACGGCCGCAAATGTTCAATCTGTTAACCCCACATTATTAGTTTATACCCCCTTCATATGCACCAGAGGTACCCAAAGTGAGGGGGGGGGGGGCACACCCCCGTGGGGGCGCGTATGGAACACAGCATATTGTTCAAAAAATTGATTGGTTGAAGGCAGTGCAAAATTAATATTTCATTTTATTTTTAATTCTCAATGAGTCTGAAAGTATGTGTGCATGCTGTGTTTTATTTGGGAAAAAGAAAAAGTTTGGGAGCCACTGACATAATCTGTTGTCCCTCCCTTTTCTACAACTGTACACCTACAGAATACTTACTGAAAACGAAGAAGAATCCTCATTTTACACACACACACACACATACACACACAATCCCTGGAGCTGCCAGGACACGGATTCAGGATTCTGTACTAAACTTCATTGTGTTGTGCTAGTCCAGCACTTGTGCCAGTTTTACAGTGCTCTCGTTTA